GTTTCTCCAGAGCAGTAATCGATAACAATATTGTTTGTAATTTAATTTCATTATTTAAAAATAAATTTTACTGTCATTAAGTTGGTGGTGCATTAAATTAACTCAAAAAAAATTAAATTGTATTAACACTAAAATACCTACAGGGTATAAGTAAATCTTGTGGAAATATATCTCCTTTAAATAATTATTATTCAAAGATATAATTAAAATCTCGCTTCCGTCGAGGGAATAAATATCTATTTTTGTATTGTCTATTTAAAAGAAATTAAAATCATTACATTGATGCACCTGGACTTCATAGTCCAAGTGATTAAACGGTGTTACAATAATTATTCAAGCATGAAAAGTAGCAATAATTCAATAATTGATTTATTGCTATCCAATTATAATTCTTAAAACTAGGTATCAATAAATTTAATGACAAAGACGTTATTACTTTTTCCTTAATAAATGAATTTTACAGTTTTGTGTAAAATCTTTGGATAAGAACAAATTATTTTATATTTTTCTTTAATAGCACATTTAAATAATTGTGGCATATTTTCATATTCCTATTTTTATGTATTCTAGTATAATATGGTTATTGTCGTGAAAATATTTTATAAACTTAGTCGTTTACTAAATTACCGTCAACTGTGGCAATATTACCATTTACTTTTATGTAATCTACTTCAACATGGAGTCTACATGCAATGTAAAAAAAGGAATTCTACTAAATCTCACATAGAATCGCTATAATAACCAAGAGTATGAGCGGGGTAAAATTGACACATTTTTAGCAGCTTTACCTAGCCTACAATTTGTATTGAATGTATCCCAGAGTTCACGTGACGTATAGTTACCAATGGTCCTGGCGCTGAAAAAGCGATATATTTATTTTTGAAGCTACCATCTTCGTATAAGTAAGCACTACCAATACATTGGTGAAGTTGCGACAAGAGTTTCAGAATTATTATAGAAAGGGGTGGATGTCATCAGGTTTGTCAAAAATAATAATACATTTAATTTTTTTTAAATAATTTTGATTTTAAAATAATAAAACATCATTATTAAAACATTATTATGGAACCTTTGTCTATACATTAAAGTTTTATATCTATCGTAAACACAGTAGAAAAACTATTCTAGAAATTTAAACTTTGCCTAAAAACAGTAAAAAATTAAATATTTTGAGTAGAACTGACCGTTAGTTGGTCTTCTTTGTGCCGTTTTAAAAAATGTTTTGGAATTTTTTTAATTAGCCATAAACCGACAGTTTTACCTCCAACTGTCAAAAGTCACTCGCCGATATGAGTGCTTTAACAAATTTTTCTTCTTCTGCTTTAGATAGACGGAAACGCGAGTCATGTTTATCAGTATGCAGGTTTTTCACTCTTGTTTTCTATGGTCCAACGGGGTATGCCACTGTTTCTCAGCATAGTAAGAAGTTTTATTTTTGTTTCTAACTAAATAAACAGCCAATAATGGCACCTCTACAGAGTAATTTTTGTAACTTCACTCTCACGAACGTCTTCTATTTCTTTGTTTGACACGACTTTTGTAGGCATTTTAAATATATCTAAAATAAGTAATTAGGCAAATTTGTTACTTATGTATTTCTTTCACTTTTCGATTTAAAAAAATCAGGATATTTAAAGTTACTGTTCTGAATAACTGAACAAAATTTTATAATGGTTCCCACACAAAACCAGATTACTTATGCGTGCTAAATTTGACAACCCTAGTCATAGCTAAAGTCGCCTTCGTGCTAAGTGGGGTAACTTTACCTAACCGCAAACAACATTACCTTTTAAAATATAACTCAAGAAAAAGAAGATTTATAGGATTGAATCATTGCCATAATATACCTTAATAATATATCATACTGTTTAATATAATCTACTTACCTGCACTTTCATTTTCTGTAAGAAACTCCAATGTTTATGCGATGACGCTGCAAATATAATTGCCCACATAATATGAAAAAGCACACTATTTTGACAAACAAAGTTGTTTGCTTGAAAAACTTTAGAATACCTTAATTTATTATAAAATCTACTAATATGCCTAAAATTCCGTCAACTGCCATTGATAAAAAATATTTAATGGGAACTAGTGTAAGGGTATGTTGGGTAAAGGTGCCCGGGGAAAGGAAAGATGCCACAGATGACGGTATCATTGTTTTTATTATTTTAACTGTATTATTAGGTTAGAAATGGCGTGATCCAAAATATACTCTAAGTTATCTTTTTAATGTTACACAATTGGCCAATTTGTTGTTTTATTAAACGATACCGCTTATAGCATTTGTAATAAATGGTAATTGCATTTTAAACTTATAATAGAAATTTGAAAAATCAAAAATACTAAATATTAATAAGGTTATTTTAGCCGATCTAAAAAGTAATATACAATTTTATTATTCTTGCGTATAAAGCAAAAATCATTATTTTACTTGAATTAATTAAAAATATTACAACGTTTAAATAAACAGTATCAAATACTTTAATAATAGATTAATGTATCCATCTTGTCCACTGTTTTACATTTGCTTTATTTTATAGCACTTAAAGATTTGTTAACTTTTATTAGTGTTCATTTAATGTTATTGGTGTTATTTTATCGGTAAATGAGGATAATAAGTATGTACATTTTAAATATTTTCGTTGTTACTTTGGGATAAAAATGTGAAATAATTTTTTTTTATTCACTGAGCTTATTTTGTGTTTGTAAAGTAACACTGTAAGATAGTCACTATATAACTATTAGATATAATGTGTTGTATCTAAAATATAGATTGCTTAAAATTTATATGCCAATAAAGTAAATAACTAATATATATGTTTATTATTACGAAATCCCCACTAGATGAAGTTACGACCTGGTGAGATATTACATTTATTACGTGGTAGAGCCATGCTGCAGTTATACTAGTAGTATAGTTGTAGCACGAATGAGTCGGCTCGACCGAGGAAGGACCACGCTCTCACAGAATACCAGCGTCAAATAATGGCTTATTGCTGCTGCTGTTTCGTGTGGTGAGTGTAGAGAACCGGAGACCCTTTTTACTGGAAACAACGCATTCCATCTTAGTCCTCACGGGTGACAACGCATCTGCATTTTGATTCGTAATCGAGGATAGATGTACGCGTCTATGGGCCACAACAACCACTTACCATCAAGTGGACTGTGTGCACGTTTTTCCTATCACATAAAAAAAGACATGCAAGAAGTTGTTGAATGCAGGTGGCTCAGGACCGTGCTTTGTGACATTCCTTGGGGGAGGCCTACGTTCAGCTGTGGACTTGTGAAGGGCTGTAATGATGATGATTACTACAAAACAAAATGATAGAAGATGCAATGTTCTGACTAGACATTTCACACCCTCAACGGCTGCTCTAGAAGAGTTAAACGTTTCCATAAGCACCCCAAGTGTAAGAAGCTATTATAGGAATTGTCTTCTGAACTATTTCATTGGCTTCTTATATTTGCGTCAAGCGTCAAAGGTGTGAGACATCACGTATTGCGAACGTCAATCCGTCTGCAAACTTAGATGATGATAAAATACGCCTTTCAAGCGTGGCCTACCTACGGCAAGTCCTATATGTAGCAGTATTTAGGATGTGAAACGGCTTGTATTACTAAATATCACAGTCATATGTATGTGTAATTCTTCTCAACAGTGAGGGTACGTCTACAAAATTTTCATAAAGGGAAACGTTTATGAATAAATGGTGGAATCGAAATGTGCTAGCTGTAGTTCTCAAATGCATGCTAGCAAGATAAAAATAGCAACTGTCTAGAGTGATATTTCGCTTCGAAGTGTGGTGCAAAGAGTATTCACTCCGTGTATGTGTGTGGTGAGCAAAAAATCAAAGTAAGGTAATATTTAATAAATATTTTCATTTTATTTAAAGCTGGCAATTGAACTTTCCAATGTTAGAAAATTAAAAGCACAACATTTACATTTAAGAGGTATTCGATTAGTGTTGTCATAAATAGGCATTATGTATGCAAACATCTTCCTTATCAGACCGTAAAAGTCCTCAGCTACGTTCTGTCATGCGCCTATCGTTATAAGCAGTCACGCCTCGCAATTTTCTCGCTGCTTCTCGTAACCACTGTGTATGTTTTATGCCTGGTGTTACTTGATATATTTATACCGCCATATATCGGAAGCATAAAATTTTTGGCACCTCATGGATCCGCTATAAACATTTATTAAAATTATTTGCAATACGAAAAATAAATTTGACATATTCATGACAAAAATTTAATTTTGCTAGTTTTTATAACCATAGGTTAATATATTATCTCTCTCATAATAAGTACAAACATGTTTTTATATAAGAGAGGGTAAACGAACATGCGACTCATTTCATTGTAAGTGACGACTGACGCCTATGAACAACTATATTATTACTTATTACTCTAAGTATATCTACTTTAAACATATAATAACATGACACTTAAATTCATTTTATCCAAGGAACTACTCAAGGTTTTATTGTCATCATTATAGTCATTTGAATGAAACATTTTACAGTTCATTGAATAAAAATATATGAAAAATAAGGTCTTGAATATAAATTAAATTGACTTTTTTTATGATATCGGTACTCTGTATACGCATAATTGTTATATACCAAAACAATTCATTTTTTAGGTAGTTACAAGTATATCTTATGTGCCTATGTATATATTTTTAAAAAATAATATAATACTCAATAATATTATACATTTTATAGTAAAATACTTATATCAAATTGAACTGGAGGTAGATAAAATTAACATCTAAACTGTGTGACGTGTGGTCAACCGATTGTAAATTAATTTATAAAACAAGATGTATTATACTGCTGTGCCTCAAAATGTTATACATAAAACTAGGCGGTAAATTATGAATATCCACAGCCTTTTAGATCAGGTACATCGTGTTTCCTTTTGCAAATCTCTCCCACGGGTCTAAATTCACCATACCCATGGCTTCCATGAGCAGTCGATGAGGTTTCGTCGTACTTTCAACCTGGACAAGAGTATTGGCTTTTGGACACACACACTTGGCCATTAAACACTTGCCCCGTTGGGCAGTTCAAATAAGTCCGGGCACCAGACACGCAGAAGTAATAGTTTTTGCACTCTGTGCTTTGCTCGACAAAGAAACCGTCCCGTTCGCAGATATTTCCGCCATTTTCGATGACGTCTTTTCTCTGACCTCCGCATTCGTGATGAGCAGGCTCGACACACGCATGGCCGTCGAAGATTTTACCACCGAGGCATGAGAGAGTCGCTAATCGATCACCGCCTTGACAAAAGAAATATCTGAAAATAATTAAACGTGTCAGTAAACTTATCTTGTTATTCAAAAATATTTGTATACAAATCAAATGATAGTTGCTTTGCATATAGAAAATATAGAGCCGTTGTAGCTCAGATAGTTAACGCTCGCTGGAAATTCACAGTACGCGAGCAACCCTGGTTCGATTCCCGCCGGCACCAATGAAATTGTTAATTGCAATTTTTTAAGTGCTAATATTCCACGTGCTCGGCGGTAAAGGTAAACATCGTGAGAAAATCTGCACGTCTAAGAAATAAAAAAAAATGTTTCAGTCTGTATGTTCCGGCTGATCACTGAAACGGCTGGACTGACTTCGACGGAACTTTCACTGGCAGGTAGCTGATGTTATAAGGAGTAACTTAGATTACCTTTATTTTTGAAAAATAATTACGGTTCCGCGCAAAAAAATTAAAACCCATAAAATCTAAAAAAGCTAGTATGGACAATAGTTACTTACGGTTTTTAAAATTTATAAGAGTCAGGGTAAAACCTTTTTAATTCTTTTGGAAAGTCATATGTTCTACATTTAACTAACAAAAAAAAAAAAACAATTTATAGACTAAATCGTATTATGGACGACACACACGGTCAGTTTAACTGATCATTCCAACTGATCAGTTGAACCGACCGCGTGTGTCGTCCATTATATTAAATACTTTTATAAATATTTAAGCTTTCCTAATCATTTCCTCAAAAATATGCCTTTTGTATATACGTAAGGATTACGGCAAGGATACTGAAGAGTTTTTTTTATTAATATATTAACAAAAAATTAAACTTTTAATAAAAAGTTGAGCCGATTTCGAAGAACTAAAAAGAATAAAGTAATTAATATGTATATACAATAAATTAAATACTAATGTACTACATGTACGTACAACGTAAGCATTCAAAATGTGATAGGTGTAGGTACATTCCACAGAAATCTAAATAATATTGCCTTATTCAGATTTCTGTGGTACATTCTGTTAATACTGCGAACTGACACACAAGTTAGTAATACCCGTTACTCGACTGCAGAGTCTTTAGGTAATTCATTTATTGCGCCATATACAACAAAATATGTTCAGCAGTGGAATTTTGAGAGGGTGTAACGGTAACGGTCAACTGTTATTTTTCAAGAAAAAGTCGTAGAGGTAAATATTTTCCGTAAATACTATTATATTTATTGAAAAATTAAATAAATACTACTATATTTATTAATAGATCAATTTAATATTATTTTAATGTAAAACAAAAATTGTTAATTATGAGTGCCATAGGCTTCTATTCCGTTTACCCGTTACACCTTTTTGCATCCAGTATAAATAATATAAATATAATAAATTAAAAAAAAACTATTTCTGTTTATACCAAGACCGATGAAAGTTATAAAATTAAGGATACAATAACCCTTATCTTACCTATGGCAGCTAGTTTCAATCTCAGCATGATAGCCGTCGGCCAGCCCTGCGCAGGAATAGTTCTCGGTTGGGCAGAGGTCTGGTCTCGTAGGCACGCAGTTTTCACCGTCGAACACAAAACCGGCAGCGCATGCATACACAGCCTTTTCTCCCCCCACACAAGCATAGTAGCCACGGCAACCGGTATCCACAGCACGGTAGCGTCCATCTGGCCGCCCGTAGCAAGAATCACGGTCAAGACTTGGGCACAAGTAACGAGATGCAGGTGAACACCGTGCGCCGTCATATATAAGTCCAGTCGGACACTTTAATACTGTCCTTAGTGAACCTTCACAGTGGTAGTAATTTGTGCAATTGGATTCGAGGTCTTGGTAAGTTCCACTAGGCATACCTTCGCATCCCTCTGATTCCTCTGGTCCTTCGCACGAGAAAATTTTCGATGAAACACATTTAGTACCATCAAACACCAATCCTGAATCGCATACTCCACGAGCAACAACTCTTTCACGGCGGCAATCATACCAGGACTTGCAGTCGCGCCAGTCACGGTAGCGGCCGTCCTGTCGGTTAAAGCATGGGCTTCTTGCGGGTGGTGGACAGTAAGCGTGAGCTATTGGCTCGCAACCACCGTTTGAAAACAACAGGCCCAGTTCACATACTCCCCTTCTAATTACTCTCTGAGCTTCGCAAACAAAATACTCTCGACAGCCAGTAGACCGATCAGCATAAGCACCGTCGGCAACTTGCTCACATAATGATGAACACACTTCGTCGGAACAAAAGTCAGCATCACCGACTGGCAATGAAATTGCAGTAGAACGCGGCGGTGGACATAATTCAGTGCAGATGCCACCGGGACAAGAAACAACGGCACGAAGTTCCGCACCACGACACAATAACGTGCGCCGACATCCGTGTGATGAGTCCGGGTAAACACCGTCGGGTAGTCCAGCGCACAGCGGCTCATAGCAGGTGCCCGCACCGCGTGAACAGGCTTGTCGTTCAGGATCGAACCATGACCCAGAAGGGCACGTACGATCGATGGCTGTGCCATTCTCGCAGCGATAGTAGTGTCGACAAGCGGTGCCAGGTGTTGCATAGGCTAACGTGTCAGTGGTGGCGCAGACGTTTCTGATGCATGGTTGGCGGGGTTGCGGTACACACGCTCCTTCCGCTTCGCTGAATACACGGTCTGATCCGCACACGTATCTTCTGCGAACTGTGCCTGATTTACAACGCACGTATTCTCTGCAATCTGTATCATAGTCAGCATAGAGTCCATCCTGGGTGCACGTGATAGATTCTCCATCTGTAATATAATGGAAATTTTTTCACGTGTTCAATTTTTAAAGGTTTAGTACAAAATAGTAACACATGTGTTATTACATTCTAAAACTGATTGACTCATCGTTGTATATCGACATTATATTAGAGGTGGTGATGGGTGGAGACTTGTTTAATGTATTCCATTTTGCAAAAGCCTTGCGTAAAATTATTTATAGAGATATGTAAAACAATATGTGGGACGGTCAGAGAAAATGAAATTTGTTTCGCAATACTCACGAGTATAGAACACCAATGTCAGCGCGACGAGAGTTACGGCGAAGATCAGAGCGTGCACGCGCGCAGACATGTCGGCTGCGACTGGCAGTGGACACGCGCGCGTGACGCAGCGGCCGCAGGGTTCCTTGACATTCGCACGCCCCTGTCGTAATTTGATCCCTGCGTTGGCCCGGATGCAGCCTCCGAGTTAGGAATCTAGACACGCCTTATTTTGATGAACGCCCGTTGATCGAGTGAAAACGACCGAACGCCGATATAGCGCGCGACCCTGAACTTTAACATTGTTATAAAACATGTACACAATGACAAAACTGCTGTAGAATGAAAATAATGGATTTGCGTATTAGGGGTTTCCACACTTTTGAATAGTAAATTAGATATTTTTTGTGTTTAATTATTTTGAGTTTAAAAATAACTGGTGGAGTAAGAAGTGACAAAAAGAAATTTCATCCGGTTGTAATTTGTTGTCGAGTAATTTTAACGTCTAATTGTAACCTAGAGGAGATATACGTTCACGGTATCTATTATATAATTTTATTTAAAGAACTACTACTAATCTTGCATTATCTTTTTTTTTCCATCATGTTTGCATTTCTTAGATAAGCGTATCGCAATTAATACTCAGTCCCGTGGTAGAATCTACGAGAATCGGCTACGACTTCCTTGCAATAGGTATATGAACAGGACGTAAATATTTGTACATAATTCATATAATATTTTTAATTGTTTTATATTCATTTAATATTACCTATATACTTAGATGGAAGAAAGAACACACTAAAAAGTCACTGTTTATTCCACGTTGAAATTTTTTCCAGCAGGCTTACATATATATTTTTCTTCCGTTCCATGTTACATAGTGAATCACACTTACAGGTAAATCAAAAATTTTAATCCGTGTTTAAATAAAACAATGGTCATAATTTTTTTTAAACTCAACAATTGACAACCCTGAAGATTAAAAACTAAGTATGAAAGGAATGTACATTAAGAGGCTGATGAGAGCGGATTCTCTGCGGGGGCACCCGTTTAATTGCAATCGATTACCACTTGATAGTTATCTCCATCACGCCTCGACTATGGTAGAACAACCTCGGATTAGTTCCGCATCTACAGTCTATGTACGATCATTACAAGTTATGTATGTGCGAATGTTTTAACCGGAATGACTATCGTAGTAGGATTCCACAAGGCAATTAAAATATATATTTTGTACGCAGGACTCTTTAAGTAATACTATTAGCCTTTTAAACCAAAAAAGTAGCTAAAGACATTTCTAGGCAGGTAATGCCCTGAGTTATTAAGGGTTCCATTGTAGTTGTGTCTCGGCAGCAACGAACTCAGGAACTTGCATTTAGAAAAATCCAAAATCAGGGCCTTTTTAGGTGCTAATTAGGTGCAAAGTTTAAAAATTAGGTGCTCTACTCAACTTTTTTTTCACTGCAACGAACTGTTGAAATTTGTGTTGCCGGCAAAACGTATCGTTAAATCATAATCGATAAATATTAATGTGCTGAAAGATTATTGAGGTCGGATGTAGATGACGGTAATATTCTGGGAATTGTCGGGTCCAGGACTACCATTACCTTACTCTATGGTATGAACGGCATATTTTCTTCTTTATCAGTTATATAATTATAGATAAGATAGGTCGAATCTGTACTAAAACCGAATCAGAACGCCCGACTCCACGTAGTCTTGTCTACCCTACCCCTAGAGTATTTATGTGAAGCCGTAGTGTAAGTGCGTTATCAGAATCAGTATTCAAACTTATAGAAATAACTTTATTGAATTGATCATGAAATAATTAAATTAAACAACATTAAACCTTTGAAAAGGTAAAAACTGACTTCAATAACAACTTTGACAGATTGAAATAATACTAGTTTTTACGGATTTTATCGCGTATATTTAACTATAAATGGGGGGGGGGACTGAGATGTTCAACGTCCAGATGTCATAGTTAACAGCGGTTATAGATTAAAATTTAACTTTTGTTCCGATCTACACAGTATGAACTTATGGTATCTTGAAGTGTTGCAGTTGTATGGTTGGGTTGGGATTTAATTTTATTTATTATAGGATCCCAAGCAGATGGTAGCACTCAGCCATCTTCTCTATTGAAATTAGGATGTTTTTCGATTTCAATAGCCTCGCGAATCATCTTTGAAGGAATCGCTGTTCTTTAGCGAGGATTTGTGGTCTATCAAATATGATGTAGTGACGGGCGCGATCCTGTACGTGTTCACAGACTGCAGACTTCCCGGAGCGTCGATTCTTAACATATAGCTGATGTGAAGAATCGAAGCCACCGATTTCCCACTGTTGAAATATATGCTATGTGTGACGTGCCGACGTTAAAACAACTGTGCGTAGTTTTTACGATCTTATCCCAACATAAGAAAGTCTCTTATGACCCTAAATAACTTTATTAAAAAGTTCCAATGTTTTATTGTTCCTTTCCTGTATAATAAAATTAACCAAATTATTAATAACACATCATAATACAATAAATCCGCTTAATAAATACAATTGTTAAAAACGTTGACAGTTTGGCTTAAAGCACAAACTTAGGATAACATTGAAGATATTAATAAGGAGCGAGTTTTAAAATTTAAATTTAATTTTTTTTTGTAAATTATAAGCACCTTATTAGCATGTTATTCATCATCATCATCATCATTACAGCCTTTCACAAGTCCACTGCTGAATATAGGCCTCCCCCAAGGTATGCAACAAAGCACGGTCGTGATCCACCTGCATCCATCGACTTTCTGCATGTCGTACCAGGTCGTCACTCCATCTAGTGGGGGGTCGCCCTACACTACGCCTACCGGTACGAGGCTGCCGCTCGAGAATCTTTTTTCCCAGCGGTTGTCGGTTCTTCGAGCTATATGGTTTTGCCACTTCAGCTTACTAATCCGTTGGGCATTGTCGGTCACTCTGGTTCTACTGCAGATATCCTCATTTCTAAGTTTATCATGCAGAGAAACTCCGAGCATAGCCATCTCCACAGCTCGCTGAGCGACTTTCAGCGCTCTGACAACACGCACTGGTTGTACAATTTATTCAGGTTTTGAGGTATACCTGACGAGAAAATGTGTCGTAATTTCCTGAACGCTACCCAGCTGAGTTGAATCCGTCGATTGACCTCTCGGTCGAAGTTGGACTTACCTAGTCGGACTATTTGTTTCAGATAAACGTATTCGTCAACAACTTCGAGCTTAGTGCTCCCAACAACTACGGGCATTAGTGTGACATCAACATTAAACATGATCTTTGTTTTGTCCATGTTCATCTTAAGACATATCCGTTGGGAGGCACTATTGAGATCATTCAGCATAGTGCTTAGGTCCTCCAGCGATTCTGCCATAAGGACTATGTCGTCGGCAAATCGAAGGTGAGTGATGTACTCGCTATTGATGTTAATACCGTATCCTTTCCAGTCCAGTAGCTTGAAAACGTCTTCCAACGCAGCGGTGAAGAGTTTCGGGGTTATAACGTCACCCTGTCTTATGTCACCTCTCTGCAGTTGGATAGGTTTCGAACTCTGGTTCTGTACTCGGATAGCCATCGTAGCCCTACTGTACAAACACTTCAGCACTTCGATATACCGACTGTCAACTTGGCACCGCTGAAGGGACTGTAGCACCGCCCAATATTCGACGGAATCAAAGGCTTTCTCATAGTCCACATACGCCAGGCAAAGTGGCAGATTGTACTCTTCGGTCTTCTGTACAATCTGCTGCAGGGTATGTATGTGGTCTATGGTACTGAAGCCTTTTCGGAAACCGGCTTGTTCGGGAGGCTGGAAGTCGTCGAGTCTGCGAGTGAGACGATCCCTAATGACTCTCGAAAACAGCACGTAGACGCGGCTCAGAAGGGAAATCGGTTTGTAGTTTTTCAAGAGAGCGTTGTCACCTTTCTTGAAGAACAAGACCACCGCACTTCTGCTCCACGCCTCAGGAGTAGTGCCTCCATGGAGGACGGAATTAAAGAGCTTCTGAAGGACTTCAAGTACCGATTTTCCACCCGCTTTCAGAAGCTCAGCTGTAATTCCATCCTCGCTTGGGGACTTTCCGTTTTTAAGGTGCTGGAGAGCCATTCTAATCTTGCTCAGACTGACGTCTGGGATATCATCGGAATAGTCTCGGATAAGACTTGCTCTTGGATCATTACTCACACTTGCGTGCGACTCCAATGATGATGAGTACAGCTGCCCATAGAACCTCTCAATCTCACTCAAAATCTCAGGTGTCCTGGAAATGATGCTGCCACACTCAGTCTTTAGGTTTGACAGTTGGCATTTTCTGGCAGACAGATCTCTGGCAAGGACTTTGGAGCCCTGGTTCCGCTCAATCGCTTCTTCAATACGAGCTGTATTGAAGTTACGTAAGTCCCGCCGCATGCTTTGGAGATCTGTCTGTTCAGTTGCCTGTATGCTGTCAAATCTGCTGACGACTGTTGTCTGATCTGACTGTTGTGTGTGATCGGAGAGTTATTGTGTTCTTCTGCGGCGGGTCTTGCAGAACTTAGCTCCGACCGCGTGGACAGTTTCCACGAGCTTGTCATTCATATCGTCCACTGTATAGCATTCTTCTACGCACTGAAAACGGTTTTGTAATTCGAGCTGAAAGTTTTCGGGACCCTGGATTAGCGCACGAGGGGGACGGAGCGTTGACTTCATTAGACGAGACCTCTCCAACTTAACGTTTAAGTTCAATGTGCCTCTAACCATTCGGTGATCGCTGCCAGTTTTCACCCTTGAGATCACTGAGACATCACTGGACAGTTGGCGTCTGGTCGTCATAATGAAGGCAATCTCATTTTTTGTCGAACCGTCAGAGCTCGACCAGGTCCACTTGCTGTGGGGCCGCTTCTGGAAGAAAGAGTTCATCATAAAGAGTCCCTCTTTCTCCATAAAGTCGGCCAGCTGCTGGCCCTTAGGGTTCCGTAGCTCTATTCCAAATTTCCATAACTTCAGCTCACTGCTTTCTCTTGTGCCCAGTTTTGCGTTGAAATCTCCCATCAACACCGTATAGTGGGTTTTGGAAGAATTCGTGGCTCTAG